AAAAAAAAAAAAAAAAAAAAAAAAAAGACATGGAGCACTTAGAACAGGGGTGGGCATTTAGAACAGGGGTGCCCCCTCCCGGATTGGCCTCCCTATGCCACCAGCACCCTGTAGGATTCCTTACATCACTGAAGTGTGGCAACAGGACCTGCAGCATCTCCACATAGACAGAGCTGTCCCTCTGCTTCCGGTCCTGCCCCTTGAAGATGGTCTTGAGGCTGTCGATTGCCTCCACCACCAGTACCCCATCCAGGCTCTTCAGGCTCCTCACCATGGAGGGCAGCAGGGCCTGCACCTTGGTCATCTGTGGAGCAGAAGCCCTTGGGAGCAGGGAGTCCTCCATGGACCAGCAGGGAGGAGCCCAGCGCAATTCACCAGGATGAGCAGAGGGGCCCCACTCCCACCCCCAGGCCTTTGCCTGTGCACGGCCTCCTGCCTGGAAGGCACTCACTCAAGTTCTGGCTGTGGCCTGGGGCCCTCTCTGGCTCCCTGACTTCTGCCTGGCCTGGGTCCTTGAGGCCCTTTGCTATCTTATCCCCTTGGCTGACACTAGAAGGATGCTATCCCACATGAGTTAGCTTTCTAAGTTTATGTCCTGTCCCTTCATCCTGGCCACAGCATGAGCCAAAACAATGCCTGACAGAGAAAAGCAAAGCACTTTTATAAATGCTAAGGGTGTACCAATCAGTAACTGGGGCCTCTGTTTCCTGATCTGTAAAATAAGAATAAATACTGCCACCATTGCTCTCTCTACACATCCACCTTTAGGGTCACTGGGAAAAATCTGGACTAGAAACTCCTCCAAAAAGGATAAAATATATAGGGGTTGTGAAGACAGATCCATTCTATAGATGGGATCACCAAGGCTGAACAGAAATGGGCTCTGACTCTAACCACCGGCGTCTGAAAGACTGTGACAGCCCAGCTGGCCTCCCTCCAGGGTTGAGCCTGGCTGGGCAGGTTTTCCTCTGGCCTCCACTCACCTTCTCCGACCTGCGGGCCAGGATCGTCAGGCCCCGGATGGACAGCACCTTCATGACGGGTTCTCGGTGGCACAGGCCTTCCACCATCCGCCCCAGAGAGTATTCCTCGGGGATCCGCCGTACTTGCTTCATCTGGAGGAGCTGGGGGAGCAGAGAGGAATGACTCCCAGCCAAGGAGTCATGTCTCCCATGCACTGAGTGCCCGGGGAAAATCAGGCTCAGCCTCTGCCCAGAGCTGCAGACCTGGGAAATCAACAGTTTTCCAGAGGCAGCCACCTGATGTTCACCAGCTCCTCCTGGCAAAGCTGGAAATGTCTCTCCCCACTTCAGAGCTCCCTGTGCCTCCCACTGCCTGTCCCCCAGCCCCTTCTCATCCCCATGACCTCAGTCATACCATGCCTGCCCTGGAGCCCACACGCAAACACCTGCCGGCCAGCTTCTAACCAAGCTGCCCACGTTCCCTGAACGGCCGGGGCTGTTTGTCCCTTCTGTGTGAGCGGAAGGCCCTTCTGCTGGGACACTGCCTCCTTGTCACTTTGCAAGGCTCCTTGCAAAACTCAGCCCCTTGAGCTATGCTTGACATTGTCCCCTTCCCCGTGCCCCAAGACTCCTGACTCCAAAACAGGTTTGTCCTCCCTGGAGGTCAGGGAGCTGGGCACCTTCAGAGCCAGGCAGAGTGTTCATTCAGGCACTCACCGGTCCCATCCGGCTGCTCTGTGGGCTCCTCCCAGGGCTGGGCCTGGGAGTACAGTACAGTCCCTTTCTCCCCAGATGCAGCCCGGCTGGAAAGGCAGAAGGAAACAGGAAGGGCCGAGAATGCCAGTGCTGCCCCCTGTCCACCTAAGCTTGGCCAAGCTCAAGCTCAGGCTGGGAACTTCCTTCCTACAGGAGGCCTTCCTTGTCCTTTGTGCCATCTGGATGGACATGAGTCTCCCACCTCTGAGCCCTCCTTATAGACCCTGGTGACAGATATCCCGGACCCCCCACATGACAAGTGTCAGGTCATGAAAGGCAGGTGAATGTGGCTGTACAGCACCCACCACACCACAGTCTTCAAAGGGAAGGGAGTTCTTACATAGCCTTGATGATATGATGGAATAGCCACACACAAGCACAAATGTGTGAAGTACACACAAACTCAAAGCAGTAGAAAATAGAGCGGAGGGTTGGGGGTTTAACTCAGTGGTTCAGCGACCTGCCTCGCAAGTGGAAGATCCCAAGTTCAATCCCCAATACCAAAAAAAGAAAAAGAAAAAGAAAAAATAGAGCAGAGTTTCCTTGAGGGCTGGGGGAGAAGGAAAGGCAGGGTTAGGGTATGGGGAAACAGGTCTTCAGAAGATGAAATCGTTCTGGAGATGGATTGCACTGGGATAGGAATCTACTTGACACCTCTGAACTGGACACTTGAAAGGGTAGAGTGGCAAATCTTATGCTCTGCATATTTTACCGTAATGAGGATACATTAAAAGGAGACAGAGACAAAGAAGATTTCAGAGCCCAGTGTCTGGGTTGGAATCTTACATCTGCCACTTGGGCCCTGGGAAAGGTACTGAACTCTGTGTCTCGGGTCCCTTCACAGTGGGCCACAGTCTGGTCTGAGCCTCAGGATTACTGTGAGGATGAAGTGAATCTGTAAGCGTAAAGCTGTCAGAATACTCCCAGAAGAGAGTAAGTGCTCAACAGCCTTTAGCAGTCTCTGCCACTGAGTCCCTTCCAGCTCTGTCCCTTCCGATGTCTCTGGACTCACCTGCAGCACCCAGCCCCAGCACTTCCGCCAGCCCTCTCAGCCCAGACGTCACTTCCTCCAGGAAGTGCTCCCTGACCCCTCCTCCCTTCTCTGACCTGTTCTCTCACCACAGTCACGTTTTAGAACCCTCACAGGTGATAGCTGGGGCATACTCGGTCTTCTGGGGGCACACGGAGAATTCTTTCTGGCCAGGGCAGAGTCGAATTCAAACGTGCACCTGTGGCGCCTGGCACACGGAGGGGCAGCAGAGGTTGCTGGTTGCCTGGGGGCCCTCGTCACAGAAGTGACTGCGAACGTGAGCTGAGCCCTGCCTTGCACCTGGGGCCCTGTCATACCTCCACGAAGAAGGCGGTGGCAGTGATCTTGTGCTTCTCGTCACCACGCTCCAGGAGAGGGATGAGCAGGTACAGGAGACGGCACAGCTCCTGGCAGGTGTATCGCACCATGGCCCTGGGGAGAAAATGGAGCAGGCCCTCAGGTTCTCTGGTCCCTAGATGGGACACCCCGGCCCTGGGGGTTCCTGTGCACCCAGGCGTTCCATCCGGGTGGATATTAGAGGCCATCTAGTTTAACAGCTCCATTTTACAGATGGGGAAACTGAGGCCCAAGGTGGGAAAGTGACTTGCCTGAGGTTACCCAGCAAGTCAGTAAGAGAGACAAGCTGAATCTCACTACACAGGCCACTCTGGGAGGAAGAGCCAGGAAGAGAGACAGCGAGGGCTGGTTCTCTGAGCAACAGGGAGCGACCAGACCTTTCGCCTCTCTGCCCCGTTCCATCCTCGCCATTGCCCTTCCAGGCGACCGCTGCTGTCACGCCCATTACACAGTGGAGGAAACAGAAGCTGAGCACGGACCACTCAAGGTCACAGAGCTGGGAAATGGCAGAGCCGGAGCCCTGAACAAGGGCTCCTCACACCAGCTGCCCCCCAACCCCCAGCATCGGCACTTCTGGGGACTTGCTGGAAACGTCTATCTCCGGGCCCTGGCCTGGACTCACTGAGGCAGAAACTTGGGGCAGGGGCAGCAAGCATTCTAGACCGCCTTGGTGCATGAGGAGGCAGAGTCCAGGGAGGAGTGGCTATCAGGCACGGAGACAAGAAGCTTGGGTTCAAACCCTGACCCTAGCACCGGCTGCGTGACGTGGGGTGGTCACTTCTTAACTTCTTGGGCATCAGCTTCCTTGTGCATAACCCCGAGTGCTGTTCCATTTCATGGTGAGGATGAAAAGAGAGCGTGCATATAACACCTCTTTGCGTGGTGTCTAGAGTGAGTTAGTACTCAGTAACTCTGAGACACCCGGGAGGGTGCTGGAGTCACAGGACTGAAACCAAGGGACCCCTTTCTGATCCAGGGAGGCTGTGTGAGGCTGCAGGGAGAGCTCTGGTCTGGTCCAGATGGTCTTTTCCAGCCCTGCCACTTCCTGGCTGTGTGACCTTTCAAGCATGATGGCTCCTGTCTGAACCTTGGCTGCTGTGATGCAAAATGTGTATTAATCCCTGCCCAGGCACCATCCGGGCAACAAAAGCAACCCTGCACTGGGCTCTTAGCATATGCCAGGGGCTGCTCTAAGTATTTCAGTCTCTACCCGCCCTTTGGAGGGTGGATGCAGACTATTTCCATACTTCTGAGGGTGAGTGGAAGGACAGGCGAAGTAATTTTGCCCTGGTGATAAACTGGGAAGTGGCTGGGATTGAGCCGCAGACAGATGTCCCCAAGGTCATCCTCCTGTTCTTGGTTGCACCTCTGTGTCTGTGTCTTAGTGTGGGAACAAGATTCATACCACAGTTCAGAAAGTAGAGGCGCTTTATAAATAACCTAAGGGACCTACAGCTGCAGAGAGCCTTGATGACCCCAGATCTCCTCCCTGGGGAGGAGACCTTGTCCCCCACCCCTGTGCTGCCCACCTACCTGCCAAGCACTGCAGTGCTACCCAGCTTCAGAGAAGGGGTGACAGAGGTAGCAAGGGGCCCCTCCGCCCAGGCGTCCCAGGGCTCACCTTGCCAGCAGCGACACTCCAAGGTGGTGGCTCTCCGCCTGCTCCATGAGCTCCCAGCCGCCCTCAGCCTCCACGAACACAACCTCGTAAGAGCAGCCCATCTTCAGCAGCAGGGTTTTCACCACCTTCACCACCCAGCTGCAGGAAGGGGCCGAGACCCTGAGGCCCAGCTCTGCCTCCACCCCACAGGCCTCTCCCCACCACACTAGTTTTCATATGCAGTTCTGCCTGAAGCCTAGCTCTTCATAAATAATTCGCTTTGACAAGAAGAGAGGAAACAGAAGCAAACTCCCCATACTGTGAAGACAGGGCTTTTCCCCTCTTCCCCTAAGCACTGTTCCTGGAGGAAAAGGCCTAGCTGGCCCCCAGGCTCCACTCCCCAGCAAGCCCAGGACAGTGCCCTCTGCTCATTCCTGTCCAGCCCAAGTCCTTTCCCGCCTCAGGCCCCTGAAGGAGTGACACCCCAACTGGCGACAGGAGAAGCTGGGAAGCTTTCACCCTGGGGACAGACAAGGCTGGGGCCCAGGCCTCTGTGCTCCTTAAGCTCCTGAGTGAACCCCCGGGGCCCAGGGCGGGGCTGTCATCTACTGACACCTCTTGTGTTGTCCTCCGTACATAGGCACACGTGGTTTAAAGACGAATACAGGATCTGATCTGAGAAACACAGGGGGACTCCACGTGTAGACTCACACAAACCTAGACGGTTTAGACTCCTGTACATCTGTGCTCCACTGTAATCCTTAGAGGACCATGGTCATGCATATTGCTGAACATCAACCAAAAGTTGTTATGAGGGCTGTGCACCCCTGTAGTCCCAACACTTTGGGAGGCGGAGGCAGGAGAATAACAGATTTGAGCCTAATATGGGCAAACTTAGTGACTTAGCAAGACTCCATCTCAAAATAAAAAATAATGAAGAGTCAGGGATGTAGCTCAATGCAAAAGCCCTGACTTCAGTCCCCACTACTGATTAAAAAAAAATTTTTTTTATGGGGCATGTTGAAATGAAAAAACAAAAGACAGGGCCAGGGATTTAGCTCAGTGGTGCTGCACCTGCCTCGAAAGCACAAGGTCCTAAATTCAATCCCCGGTACCTCAAAAGAAAAAAACAAAAGACAAAGCAGAGACTAACCATCTCAAAGCTCAACAGACACTGACAGTCTCATGGTTTGCCCCTCCTGCTAGACCCAGGAAGGTCACTGTGCTCCAAAGATAAGCTGCTGAAACAAACAGCTACCTGTACCTCCCTACATCTTAGAGATAAACTGTTAAAAGCAACATCTGCTTGCACCTCCCTACATCTATGCTAAATTCTGGGTCTATAAAATTCTGCTTGCTTCCCTGCCCTGCCTACAGAGCAAGATAAAAATGAAAACAAACTTAGAATCAGGGCTCAGAATCTGGAAGGCGACTTCTACTGAGCCTGTTAGCAAATAAACCTGCCTTTCCCTTCCATTCTATGAAGTTGCTCTCTTCCTTGGTCTGCCTGCCCTCTGAAGGCCATAACAGTGTGACTGCACACATAAACTTTTATTACAATAAAAACTGACAATGTACAGAATGAAGTTTACATTAACAGTTTCCCAGAAGCCTAAATGTTTGCCTGCAGTATCCAGGTGTCTTACTTTTCTCATTGCTAGGACCAAAATGTCTTATGCCCAAAGATAAGGGAGGAAAAGTTTATTTTGCTCATATTTTTCAGAGGTTTTAGTTCATAATTGGCTGTTTCCAAGGCAGGGCGGCGTGGCAGAGGAGAAACAGTTCATGGCAGAAGGTACCAAAACATAGTAATCACACACCCTTCATCCCAGCATCACACACTCTAAATCCAGCCATCTCTGAAAAAGCCCCACCTATGACTACATGAGGCTTTGGGGGGACATCTAGATACAAACCATAACATTCCACCCCTGGACCCCCAAAGAGTCACGTATATTTCTTTATACAAGCTTGAAGAGTTGCCAAAGTCCTAACAGTTTCAGCACTGCTGAAAAGTCCAAGTCTCAAGTCTCTCAGATTTAAGGCAAACTCATAGCTGTACAAATGAAAAGAAAATGAAACCCTTCCAACACACACAAGGGCACGAGATACACATTACCATTCCAAAAGGTGCAAATAGGAGGATACAAAGGAATGGAGGACCAAAGCGAGTCCAAAATCCAGCAGTATCCGAGGTAACTCTGTAGCAAGATGTGAATTCTGCTTGGTGGCTCCGCCCCTATGGCGTTTCCAGTAGTGGTGGCTCCCATGACTTCTCTCTTGGGCCAGCTCTGCTCCCTCCTTGCAGTTTTCCTCAGTTGATCCACATTCCTGGCTTCTTCAAACTTCTGGAGTCTCCCACTGCATCTTCGGCTTCACACTCACAGCTTCACAAACAGCCCTCTCAGGGACACCCTAACTGGCCTCCCAGGCCTTCTTATTAGATCTGGGTGGAAGCCTTCCTGACCCCACAACTCTTCCATTCTGCATGGGCCTAAAACCAGGGCCACGTGGATGATGCCAAGGTCTGCCACCAGCTGGAGCAGTAGCCAGGCTTCCTTCTCTTTTCATCGCAGGGGTCGAGTGCCCGGATCACTGAGCAACCTGAACCCAATCCCAAGGGACAAATTCTCTAGGCTGCCACCACTCAGGAACATGATGCCCTGGAGCTCTCTTCTCAAAGTTAATTCTTTCACCTTTGCAATTCTGAGGCTGCAAAGGCTGGAGTCCTGCTAGTTCATATGATGCCCTCAGTCCATCTTTTCTGTTGTCTTCTTCCAAAATAGTTGGCTTTTCCTTGCTAGTCTTTTCAGTGACCAGTTTTCTCTGTTCCTTTTTTTTTTTTTTTTTTTTTTTTTTTTTTTTTTTTTTTTTTTTTTGCAGGCCACAATTTTATTGGAGCTTCCTTTCTGGCCAAACTCATGTTGCTGGGCTCTTTGCACTCGATTCCCAATATAAATCTGGCTAAAAGCCCCCAGCAGTAGCCATGCCACCACCTCAACATTAGGCTGCCTTGAAATTTCTTCTGCCGGATTAATTAGTCTGCTGCCCTTAATCTCAGCCTCAGGAAAGGTCTCTGGACACAAGCAAAATGCAGGCAAACTTCCTAGCCATAATACATATTGTGTAGAGTCCAGTAGCCAATCCAGTCCTTCCGAGCAGAAACCTCTCAAATCTGTCCTTTACTGGCAACTTTTGTATCAGCATTCTGGTCTCCTGAACTCTTACCAGAATATCCCATTGAGTACAGCCTAAGGCATTAGAGCTCTACTTTTTCAGCTGGCATCTCCAAACCTTTTCTATCTCTTCCTTTTCCCACAAGCCAGCTCCAAGAGCCTAAAGCACATGGTCAGGTATAGTCATAGCAACAACTCCACTCTCAGTACCAAATTCTGTGCTACTTTTTTCATTGCTAAGGCAAAATATCCAACCCTTACAAGTTAAGGAGGAAAGCTTTATTTAGCTTCCAGTTTGTAGAGGTTTCAGTTCATAATCAGCTGGATCCAAGGCAGGGTGATATGGCAGACAGGCATCGAAGAGGGGAAACAGTTTGTGGTATGCAGAAGGCTGCAAAGCAAGTCAAGGGTGACCACAGCTCTTTTTATCTCTTATACCTTATCCAGGGTATTCAGGGTGGGTAGCACTCACACCCTTAATCCTAGGGCCCTTGAGCCTAGCATTGCACTGTGAGTTAATTCCAGTGTCACACACTATAGATCCAGCCACCTCTGAAAAAGCCCCACCTATGACTGCATGAGGCTGTGGGGGGACATCTAGAAACAAGTCATAACACCAGTCTGCACTTGCATGGCTGATACCACTGTCCTCATGGGTCATTACAGAGTGCTTCAGAGCTCAGTAATTCCACAGAATTTATTCTTATTTGTCCCGGGTTTGCTTTTTAAGCAAGAACCAGCCCGTGTGAAAATCAGTGCTTCTCCCAAGCCCGGACCTTCGGCATTGTCCAGCCTTGGTACTGGTGCTTTGAAATGTGTGCTGTTGGGAGAGTCCCTGCCAGCAATGCCCCCTCAAGGTTACAAAGAAAGCAGGGAGGGAGGGGGCGGTAGGTGCCCAGGTGTGGCCCGGCACCCTCATTGCCACCCTGTTCTACTTCCCTTAAAGCCCAACACTGGTGAATGCTGGAACTGAGCTGCTCAGGTTTGCCTTTGGAGAAGGAGAGTGGTTTTTTTTCTCCACCAGTAGCACCTTCAGCTGAAAAGAGCCACCAGCATGTGCTTCCCTGCCCCTCTGGGTCCAGCCCCATCTCTAGGGCATGTTTGGCTGCTTTCTCATGAACAGTCCTGGGGACTGGTGCTCAGAGAGACTTGACTTAGGGACTCCAGTCAGCGGCAGCCAGTTCCTCCCAGGCTACGTACACAATGGGATGAGGGCACATGGGCACGAGTACCCAGCACGACCCTCATCCTCTGTCCCCTCTGCAGTTCACTCACTTCCTCAGCCAGGCTCCACATCTGGACAGAAACGACCCTAGCCCTTGACCTTCCTCCTCACCCCACTCCCGAAGATTTACCTGGCCCACACGATGCCGCCCTGTAAAAAGGCAGCGTGGCCCTGGGAGGAATGGCCCTGGGCAGTGGGGAGGCGCTTTTGGCCCCTAAGGCCCACCTGTGAGTACCACCCTCCTGGAAGTTTTTTTCAGCTAAGTGGAACAAAGGATATTTTGAGATGCCACTGCCTGTCCCCTCACTGGCATGGGGGACAATGATCTCCTGAGGAACACCCTGAAAGCCCTATGGCTGCTTCAGGGCCCAGGGATAGGAGGTTGCGAGACAAGTTTCCAGGCCACATCCCCGGGGCTAGTCCAGTAGGCTCCCCGCCCACTTCAAGACCCTCTCTGAAATGTCAGGGCTGGTGTCCCCAGAGCTAAGTCACACTCATCCTCACATGCCCTCCTCAGGGAGGATGTGACATGATGTGCACAGACAGGCACCTGCCAGGGGTCCCATCTCACAGTGGGGTCTGGAGCACTCACTGTCCACACTCAGGCCGCACTCCATAGTATTGCTGCCATAGCAAGTCACTACTGGGTGGCTTAAAAGGACAGAAAGGACTCGCTCAGTTCCAGGAGCCAGATGCTCAAAATCGAGATGTGGGCCATGATCCCTCTGGATCTCTGAGGGGTGACCCTTCCTTACCTGTTGAAGTTCTCTGCTTGGGTCAGTGTCCCTTGTCACTCCATGGCGGTGTCTCCAGGACCCTTCTGCCCGTGTCTGCATCTCTCCTCCTCTCAGAAGGGCACCTGGTGTTGGCTGCAGGTTAACCTAGGTTAACCTGGTTGAGCTCCCCTTGAGATCTTCAGATTAATGACTTCCATAGAGACCCTTCCTCCAAATAACATCACAGCCACAGGTTCCAGGGGATGTATCTTTTGGGGGCACTGTTCAAACTCCCCTCCAGCCCCTCCTGTGGTCCTCAGCAGATCAGTGTCCTCCTGCTGGAGGCCATGCCCTTCATCACCACAGGGGGCGCTCTTCCCACTCCTTGCTCCTCTTCCTTCTCCTGCAGCACCCCCTTGTCTTCTTCCTGCTTCCCTCCAGAGGTCCTCAGCTTTCCAAATAACCCCGTAAACTTGAGGGGAATCACAATTGGGAGTGGGGCTTCACAGATAGCAAGTGGTGTGATCCTGTTTGCTCCTCATGACACCTCTCTGGGGCAGAAACCATTTGCCCATTTCATAGCAAGGAAATTAGCACCAAGAGGTTCAATTAGTTTACTCAAAGGACAAAGCAGCAAGTGATGGACTCGAGTCTAACATCTGACTTCAAGCCCAGTCACATGATGGCCTGCCCTCTGCCCCATATATATATATATATATATATATATACCTTTCTAAGCCTAATGAATGATGGGAATAAAACAAGAAAAGGCTCATCAATTTGGCTGTGCAAAAACTTAAATTTCTGAATGGCAAGAAACCATAAAATTACAGGTTAAGGGACAAACTGGAACGCCAATAATGAAAAGTCAATTCCTTTAATATATAAAGAGCTTTGACAAATTAATAAGAAAATTCCCCAAAAGGGCTATGTAAGCCACAGATGTAGCTCAGTGGCACCATGCCTGCCTGGAAAGCACAAGGTCCCGAGTTCAATCCCCAGTGGGTGGGGGGAGTCCTATGTAAAATTGGGCAGGGGACAAGAAGAGCTTATTCACAAAAGTGGATTGCAAAAAAATGACATTTAAACCTCAATCTCATTTAAATAAAAACACTACAAACCAGAACTATGGCAAAATTCCTTTTTTTTTTTTTTCAACTCTCAGACTGGCAAAGATAAAAATATTTTATAATACATTGTGATGGCGAGGGTATACACTACTGGTGTACAAACTGGGTGTGGAAGAGTTTACATTCTGTTTTACCCTCACCACTCAATGGTTGTGGTAGATTAATTAATGGTCAACTTGTAACACCCAGTTGACCTGAATCAGTGTGGTTTGGGCGTAGAAGACCTACCTGAAGATAACAGCATAAAGAGAAAACTGAAGGGGGAGACTATGGGCTGTTGATTTCCTAGGAGAAGTTTGCTATGGTTGGTTTTCTTGACGTGAACTTGGCTGTTCTCGTCGAAGGAAGAGCTTGGGCCTCACCGTCACCGGGAATGGCTGCTGTTCTAGTCAAGGGAGCTCTGATCTCCACCAAGAGCATCACTTCCGGGCTCCAGTGTAGATCCCTCAGCCTGGTGGTACAGATCCTTCACCCCACCAGCTCAGGTTTTCTGGCTTCCACCACTGGCCTTCGGGCCTTCTAGGCACAGATCCTCAATACGGACAAGCATGGGACACTGCTGTGGGCTCTAGGCCACTGCCTGGACTTGTGGAGGACACTGCCTTGGACCCTAGGCCTTCAGCTGGACTTGTGAGGAAATGTGCTGTAGGATCCAAGCCCTTGGCTGGATTCTTAGGGTCTCTAGCATGCAGTTAGATCTCTTGTGTTCCTCTACATTTGATTTTTTGGGGGTGGTTATAAAATAATCTTATAAATTGTGTCTTGTAGCAAAGCTATTCCCTTGCAAACCCTGACTACAACCATGGTCAAGAACATGGTCCCCCCACACATAGATTCCTTCCTGCTCCACCTTAACGTCCAGATGCAGAAGGCCTCCGGCGGCCTGTTCCCTTTGCAGGAACTCATTCTGCAGGTACAACTGCAAGGGTGCTAACAGGGTACAAGCAAACATCCTGCAGCACTGACTGTCATTGCAAAGGGCAGGGAAGTACCTACAGGAGGAGGAGCCCAAGTCGGAATTCTACACATAGAGTCAGAAATAATGAGCAGCTCCATGTGTGCTGGTGTCCAAGATACTGTGCGTGATAGGTGCGAATCTCTGTGCCTGTGTGAAGTACTGCAAAAACGAATGTGCTTAGCCCTGCACGGCCACCCCTGGAAGAGCAGGAAAGAACCTGCTCATCTTTGGAGAAGGCAACTGGAGCAGGGGAGGAAAAGAGACTCAATTTTAATGTTGAGTTTTTGGTTGGTTGGTTGGTTGTTTGAGACAGGGTCTCACTATGTAGTTGAAACTGATCCGGATCTCACTATGTAGCCCAGGCTGGTCTGAAACTCACAGTGATTCTCCTGCCTCAGCCTCCCGAGTGCTGGGGTGCTGGGATTGTAGGCATGTGCCACCAGGTTGGTTGGTTTGTTTGTTTGTTACCCATGTGCATATATGACCTATTCCAAACAAAAGTTAAAAATAAAATGGACAGAGAAGGAGGAAAGACATTCAGTGCTGAGCTCCTTGAGGAGTCTCATTTTTCTCAAGCCATCCTGTGCTAAGTACCATGCTGGACACACAGAGCAGGTGCCCACAAGTAGTTCCTGAATGCAGTATCAACTCTAATAAAAATGCGCTTCTGTTTTCTCTCAGATTCCAGAGCTCATTTCTACTACCCGAAAGACTGTTAGAGGGACCCTTGTTGGGCAACACACACACACACACACACACACACACACTGCCAGGGAGAGGGGTCCAGGGAGACGGCAGAGCTTACTGCACAGGTACGAAGGCGGGAGGCTGTGCTTGGTTCTTGGTGTCCTTCTGAGGAACCCTGTGGCCAGGCAACTTGATGCCAATGTGGTAATGGACCTGAATGAGCAGGGCCAGGAGCAGCTGGGGGTAGATGCGCCTCACACAGCTGGCACAGCTGTTGACGGACAGGAGCTCACACAGGCCGCTGGCTGCCTGGGGACAGAGGGGAGGCCAGTGGCATGACCTGGGCCATCTTCCCAGCACTCCTGCTGAGGCCCACAACTCGGCCTCTGTGGGGCTGAACATGGGTCTTTGCTCTTCTCTGGCCCAGCCTGAGAAAGCTTGAATCCTACCCACCACCTCCAGACCCTGACCCCCAAGTCTAGAGCCCCATCCTAGCCCAGGAATATCCACAGCCAGACTCTTAGCTTTGCCCAAGGCTTGGACGTTAGGCAACCTTGGAGGGATCTTGGTGCTGAGACCTGTCCCACCTCCTGAGGTGTTCAGGGTGGTGAGCCCGTTGTGCAGGTGAAAGGATGGGCTCAGAAGGTTAATGCAACTTCCAAGGCCTAGCCCCTTGGGGCAGATGCTGGCTATGGTGCACCCTGGCTCTTTCTTGTGGACAGCACAGGCAGACAGAATGTGGGGCAGTCTGGACCAGGGGGTGGTTCCCAGAGCCAAGCATCAGGAAGCGCAAACCAGTCTGTGTCACCTACACGAATAACAGTCACCCACCCATGAGGTATTTATCGTAGATATCCGTGTGTGTGTGTGTGTGTGTGTGTCCTCACCGCCAGCGGCACGATGGAGGCCCGGCCCTTCTTGGTAACTGGCTTCTCCTTCAGGCTGCTCAGCAGCAGATCAAGGAGGTCCCGGACATCACAGCTGGGCTTCCGCAGGATCAGCTGCCTCCACATCTCGGCTCCATTGCTGTTGAGTGGGGCAAGTGGTCAGGGGGCTCCCTACCCGGCATGGTTTCAGGGTTGGAGGAAGTGAGAGCCAGTGAGACGGCACCTGCGGGCACTCCAGCAGGGACGGTCCAGAAAAACCTCCCCAGAGCCCAGGCTGCCAGCGGTGGAAACTCCACCTCCTGCTCCACACCAGGGCTGATACCCATTTACTACTTCGGCAAAGGTTACTGAGTGTGGCTGAGCACCAGGAACTGGGGAAATCTCTGGGGAATGGACTCAAACAAGAATTCAAACATTCTAGGTCACCAGATTCTCACAGTGACCCCCAAGGTGGGTGTGGTTACCCCCATTTTACTGATGTGGAATGGAGGCTCGGAGAGGTGAAACTGCCCGTTGGAGACAACACAGCTACGGGCGGCAGACACGACTTCTCCAAGGCCTGTACTCGTCCCTCTGTGCCCAGGAGCAGAGCTGAGGCTGGGGAGCCCTTGGGACCCTGGATAAGGCCCAACTCACAGAACACCAGGGTGCTCCTCTCCGGCCCCTGGAAGGCAAATCCCCGGGCAGACAGCAGCCTGCAGCACTGCTGCCAGGGGAGCTGACTGTGTGCCGAGCACTAAGAGACCTTCCTTTCTCCCTTCTCCATGAGCACCTGAACCTTCCACTCCTGTTCTAGCTTTGCTTCCATGGAAACCCAATAAAAGACAGCATGTCAACTATGTTGCCAGGCAACGTTGCTTATGGTAAAAACGGTCATCTTTATGACCACTTGGTAAGTCGAATCCGGCCTGGAACTATCAATTAACTGAAAAGATGGATGGCAGTGCTGTAGTGCTGAGCTTCCCAGGAGGCAGAGGTTTGTGCAGAGCTTGTCCCTGCAGGATCCTCGGAAGCGAAGCCTGTGGGGTTGACATGAGAGGCTCCAGGCCAGGCGAGTCCTGCACTACTTAAGCCAGGGTGGCTCCTGCATCACCCACAGCACGGGTCTCCTCCCCTCGAGCAATGAGCTTACCTGGGAGGCCCAAGAGCCCAGCTCTGAGTCCCAGGCCCAAGATGAGGGTAAGGAAAGGGTGCAAGTGTGAGGGGACCCTCACTGCAGGCTCACAAATGCCGCCTGGCGCTAGGAGCAGTGCCTCCTTGGACACTGCGCCAGGTGCCTGGCCGCCTCCCTCCTGGCCTCTCCTGGGCAATTGTGACAGCGAGCATGGCCTGGTAGTCTTCTCAGTCCGATTAGTGGCCCCTAGAGGCTCCTCCCCAGAGGAGAGCGCAGCCTGACAGGGCTAAAGCCTTCCAGCTGGAGGAAGGGATGTCGGGCTGGGCCTTCCCACGCCCGCAGGTCTCCTGGGCTTCTGTGAATGGGCCCAAGTGTCCTCATCAGAGCACGAACCATATGCCTCTGCAGGATTCTTTCCCATGTACTCCAAACGACCATCCTAAGGTGTAGATCGGCCCCTGCCTTCTTTTATTCACCCGAAGGAGTGGAAGCGTTTCTGGGCTGAGAGGCTGAGGCCAGCAGACTGGTCCCATTCCTGTGGGCATCCCAGGCACAGCCACAGACACAGGCCAGGTGCTCAGCGCAGGCGGCTGCATTACTTCATCTCACCGCCCTTCGGGTGTGAACACAGGGGTCACTTCCTCCCTTTGTGGGGGGAAACCGAGGCCCAGAGAGGGCAAGCAGGATGCCCAAGACCACGTGATGCTGGAGTCCGAGCGAGTCAGAGCCAGGACACAGGGCTCATCAAAGATCCCTGGGCTTGGAGTCTGTCAGGCCTGAGCTAGGTCCTCTTCCTAGTAATAGCTCTGTGGGCCCCTAAGCAAGAAACTTGCCCTCAGCCTCAGTTTCCCCATCTATAAAATGGTACTGCTGACACCCGGAAGTGCTTGGGAGGGGTCTAACGGTCATCACAGGCACCAGGGTCACAGAACAGGGGCTGCTGGGGAGGGCCTGGCCTTCTCTGGACAGGAGGATGGGGCTGTTCTGATCCTCTGAGGTATGGGGGCTGGGAACCCCCTTACTCCTTACCTGTTCAGTGGGAGGGGACACATGAGCAGGGCCACCACGACCTCGGTCATGAAGGAGCTGGCCAGGAAGGAGACAGGCAGCAGGGCCACCTCTCGGGCACGTGGGTCCTGGATGTGACTCAGCTGCCTGTAGATGCCCTGCATGATTTCTGGGATCTGGCGGCAGCCAGGAGCCAACAGAAGGAAGGCTCGTCAGAGAAGACGAAGGTAGGAAGAGAAAGGAAGGTAGAGATGGGAGAGAGGAACCAGGAAGGACGGAGGGTGGAGAGGAGTTCGGGAGGGAAAGCCAGGAAGGGCACAGGAGCTGCTGCTCCAGGGAGTGAGGGCTTCCTCTCCTCTGCCCCCCACAGCTCAGCTGGGTTCTCGGGGTGCCGGGGAGGGGAGCCGGTGCCCCACTTACCACGTCCAGCACCTTGTGGCGGTACCACTCCAGCACGGAGCTGAGCGTGACCTCCGAGGCCAGCTGCATCATCTCCCCAGCTTCCTTCCCCCAAGGCTCCGCACCACCTCTCAGCCCCTCCACAGCTGCCAGCAGCAGGTCCTTCACCTGCTGGGGGTCCAAAAAGTCCCCGAATTCCTGGAATGCAGACAGACACAGAGGTCCCCACGTGGCTGGGCAGCCCTGGGCCACACACGGAACACAGCCATGGGGACAGAGCTGGGGGGAGGGCCACACACACACACACACACACCCTGATGCGTGAGTGTTGAGCCCTCCAGGGAGGAGCTAAAAGAGACAAGGGGCAGCAAGGTCCCTGTACCCAGGACTGGGTAACGCCTGTCAGGGAGAAAGATGTGGCCCACAGGCTGTGGCACAAACCCAGGAGGAGGAAGCTGGGGATAGCTCGTGCGTGAGGGAAGTCAGGAAGCCGGCAGGGGAGCAGGAATTGGGGGCTGGTGGCGCTGCCCCACCTCCCTCCCCACCCAGGGAGGCCCAGCTGCTGAGGCTGTCCCTGCGGTCACCGCAATCACACGCAGGATGTTCTGGCATGGGCTGACAGGGTTGTAGGGCCCCAGGAAGCGCTTGTTGCTCTCATACAGCTCCTTCGTGTTGGTCTCTTCCTTATCTCTGGCTCCTGCAAGAGAAGAGCCTTCTGGTGAGGTGTCACCAGCCCGCCGCTTTGAATTCTTTTGAACAGCAAAGGCAGGGAGTCCCCAATTCCTATAAAAGCAGCTGGATTGATTGTCACATGGCGAACACACATAGGTCAAGAAACAGAGCCCGATCAGCACCCCAGAGCCCCTTCCTGCACCCCTCTTTGGACCATCTCCTCCTGCTCCCAGGCAAACGCTATCCTGATTTCTAACACCTTAGGTAGAGCCCTTTGCATAATGAGTCAATGGGATCTGTAGCGTCTGGCTCCTCTCACCCAATGCTACGTGAGTGGGGTCTACTAATGAATGCTGCGGCCCTAGCATTAGTTCTTGTCCTCATCCTCAGTGCTATCGCACTGAGCTGCCTGCCTCCCTAGCCATTTTAAAATTTTTTAAAAATTTTAAGACAGGGTCGTACCAAGTAGCTAAGTTGTTCAGGCTGGTCTTAAACTTTCAATCCTCCTGCCTCAGCCTCTCAGAGTGCTGGGATGACAGGTGTGTGCCATCGTGCTACATGATTTTCCAGGGTACAAAGGTACTGTCCTTGTGAACACAGCCTAGTCATGTCCCTTGTGAAAATATCTGCACATTGGCGAGGGACAAGCCAGGGGGAGGAATGGCCGGCTCACAGGGGAGACACTGCCGACCTTCTTCCACAGTGGAGACTAATTAGTTCCAGGGGGCAGTGTCTGAGCCCCCCCCCGCCACCACATCTCACTGTCATGTGCCATTACCTGTCACAGTGCTGCCATTCTGGTGGGCAGTGCCCTTTTACATTTCACTTTATTTTGTGCCCGTGCTGGGGATTGAACCCAGGGCCTCACCCAGGCAAAGCGAGGACTTTATGACAGAGCCATCCCCTGGCTGGGCCCCTTCGCGGTCCCCGTCTCCTCTTCTCCTTCTTTTCCCTTAGTGCTGATCGTGTGACGGTCTCTACATGTCACCTGCTTACTTCTCGCCACTGCCTGTCTCCCGACAACGTGAAGGGAGGTCCACCAACAGAGGTCCGGTCCTCACATCTCCTTCTCCCCAGAGCCTACCCGGCCCACAGTGGCCCCGTACTTCCTGTTGTTGGAAGCACATTCCAGGCCAACGTGGGGATCCCTCACTGTGGCCAGGCCCGGGTGCTCCCAAGACGCCCTGGAGGTGTGAAACACACTGACGCCAGGAAGGAGCTAGGGTGCATGTGCTCCTGTCTGTGGAGAGCAGGAACTCACCGTCTGGGCTCAGGCAGACCCAGTTCCCATGCCCTGCTCTTACAGGTAGGCGACGGGGATGAATCATTTTACTCTTGGAGAATCTAGCAGTGTGGGCTTGACCTACAGCTCCCAGAAGAAATATAAGAAATTCAGAATTAAATGGGTGCCCTCTGTTTTTAGCTAAATCCAGCAACCTTAATTTGGGCTATGCTGTTCCTGCCCATAAGGCTGCTCATTAACAGGGCTTAACCTTCATTCATCACCTAGAAAGCATGATGGTGCTTGGTCAGTTGGGAAAAGGACCCAATATTTGCCCCAGTGCCTGAGATCAAAAAGGTTATGGACTGTAAACTCAGAACTTGGGAGGATGAGGCAGAAGGATTGAGTTTGAGGCCAGCCTGGGCTACACAGTGAATTCAAGAGCAGCCTGAACTATGCAGTGAGACCCGTTTCAAAACATCCAAAAGGCCTTGCAAAGCGACACACGCCTGTAATCCCAGCACTTGGGAGGCTGAGGCAGGAGGGTCACCATGAGTTCGAGGCCAGCCTGGGGTACATAGCAAGATCCTGTCTCAAAAACAAAAGGAAAGAAATAAATAAAAGGAGAGAGAGGGAAAGAGGGGGAAGAGGAGGAGGAAGAATAACAACAGGAAGAGGAGGAATAGGGATACCAGACAGACCCCAAAAGGCTGGAGAAAGGGAGAAAAAGAACTCTATTTGACAGGTGCCCAGGATGGGTGGCACCAAGCTGCCTCTACAGACTCTAGAAAGATCTCATTTAGCATTTCACGAAGCGTGTGGACTGTGCCCTTTTACAGATGGGGAATCGAGGCCCACACACGCAAAGTGCTTCCTGAGGTCGCACAGCCAGGAAGGGTCACAGCCAGGTCTCGTGTACAGGCCATTGTGCCTCCAGAGCCAGGGGAGTTTAAACAATAGGCCAGGTTCCCTAGATTGGGGCAGCGTTGGGGCTACAGAGAAGGAGGCAGGAGACAGCGGACACTGTGCACCCTTGGGGACAGTGCCAGCTGGACACGGGTCTGAACACATGCGCAACTGCCAGCTCCCTGGAGCTGACACTAGGACCGTTCTCCACCCACAGGCTCAGGTACAGCAGATTCTAGGGCACGACCTACTCTGCCTGCTCATTCGACAGCTATCCCTGCCCCGTGCCGGGCCGAGGCTTGACACAGGAACACAGTGGTGACCAAGACACAGCGCTGCCCTACAAGCCCACAAGACACAAGGGCTGTCAGGCCTGGGTGTACAAGGTACTGCGGGGAAGTGGAAATGGGTCACAAATCAAGCTTGGAAGGATGGGGGAAAGTTCAGCTAGAATGGCCTGCATGCACCGAAACAGGCTTGGATGCCTCCTCTGCCCCTGGTTCCTCGGGGACCCGGACTTCACACCACTTCCCACAGTCCCTATCCCCACCATGCTGTCTCTCCGTCTCCCTGTGTGGCCTCAGCCTGGTCTGGGCCTGGACGCCTTGCTCTGAGCCCTTCGGCGGCACTCACGTTTCTGGAGCTCCAGGATCGTGTAGAGGATGGTGACGCCGTCCAGAGCCTTCCGGCCAATCTCCTCATCGGGATCCCCAATACGAAGGATGAGCCTCCCCAGAAGAAGTCCCAGCGCCGGGAACCCCGAGGACATCTGTCATAGCACAGGGACCAAGTCTTCAGGGTCTACCACATTCCACAGTGCACAGCCAGGCAGTCCACCCCGAGTCTCACCCCTGCGGGACACTCACGTAGAAAGGCAGGCTCAGGAGCGTGTGGTTCAGCAGAGAGATGTTGCTGTTCACAGCCCGAGCCCGCTCGTGGGCCTTCCCAGAGTTCATCCAGGGCCCCAGGGGCTGGGGGACAAGGGCGAGGCTCAGGCCTGCTGCTGGGTGGGCAGCCAGCCTGCCGTGATCTACAGGAAGCTTGCAGAGAGGGCCTGACTGAAGGTGATTCCCCTCTGCCACTGCCTCCTGGTGGACACAGGGAGAGATGGGAACCACACAGGCAAGAGAAAGGTGGGAAGTTCCGAGGAAGGAGAAAGAGGAAAGATAGGGGTGACATCAACCAGTGGGATGTGGGGAAAGGATAGGGGCAGGAGGGTGGGATGGGCCGCAAGGACAAGAGAAGGGTGCTGTGCTGGATGACATCCTGAGCTCGAGTCACTCCTCCAGGCCCAGTTCCTACTGCTCCTGAGCCTTTCCCGTTTCTCTCTGCCCTCCGCAGCTCACTCCTAGCCTCCAAGCCCTGTACCTCCAAGATGCTCTTGAGTCCGGAAGGAGTGGGGTCTTCAATAAAGAGGGCATGGAGCAAGGTCTGCAGGGCTTCCAGGGTCTGGTGGTAGAGTGTCTGCAAACAGGAGAACCAAGCTGTTAAGAGGCTCAGGGAGCCGCTGCCAGCCCCAGGGCCCCCCTGGAGGCATCAGGGAGAAACCAGCACTTGGACGCAGCAGAGCATCCTCTGGCCCCTCTGTTGAGGGGCCAGATGTGATGGACAGTGATGGACACTGGGCACATTACTGCCCAGCCAGGGGTCAGAGTTCCCTTACTGACTAATCGCTAATCTCTGTACTTCCTGCCTTACAGGGGAAGAGAGCAAAGACCTCGACTGTACTGAGACTCAGCCGGGCAGGATGAGTATCCGAAGATTTGCACATCCATGTCATTTTGTATCAAACTGTTTTTCCTATAGTATAATTTAGAACAGCAGTCGGCAAACTTTTTTTTTTTGGCAGCAGAGATGAGTTTCATGGAAGAAAAGTTTTCCATGGGGGTGGGGGGGCATGATTCACAGGATCATACAAATTAGATCCTTCACATGCGCAGTTCACATAAGGTTCAAGCTCCTATGAGAATCTGGTGCCCCACTGATATCACAGGAGGTGGGGCTCAGAAGGGAATGTGAGCTATGGGGAGTGGCTGCAAACACAGGGGCTACGTGGTTGGTGTCATGGCTTGGGTCTAGATGTCCTCCCAAAGCTTTATACCAAGAGGTGGCAGGATCTAGAGTGTCTGATGGTAAAATTAATTTTTTTTTTTGATACCGGGGATCAAACTTGGGTCCTTGCTCTTGGGTGCAACCACTGAGCTAAATCCCCAGCCCATAAAATTAATGCAATGCTAAGATCAAGGCACTAGGACTAAGGGTGTAAGCGCTACCTGCCCTAAGTGGCCTGGATAAGATAAAAGGGATAGAAAGAGCTGTGGTGATCCCTTGCTTTGCTTCCTTCTGCCCACCATGAACTGTTTCTCCTCTGAGATTTCCTTCTGCTGTGCCACCTGCCTTAGAGCCAGCTGACTATGGACTGAAACCTCTACAAACTGTGACTACATAAACCTTTCCCCCTTTAATTCTGGGTGTCAGGTATTTTGTCTTAACAACGAGAAGCTGGTTTCCTTGCTGTTTCCCTCCTGCTGCGTGGCCAGTACCTAAGAAACTATGGGCCATGGCCCAGAAGTTGGGAAGCCCTGATTTAGAAGATACTTCTCTACAGTCCCACAGCAAGGAATTTTCAAGTCATGAAAAATGACCAGAAGATGTATGGGAAAATGTTCCAGGACTCTAGGGGCTGCATGAGTGAAATGGTCCATCTTCTCTCTGAGGAAGTGATCTGATTCTTTGAAATGCAACACCTAGACTCAAACAGATCCTCCATTTTCCTTCAGGGAACCGTCTCCCCGCTGGTGAGGGTCCTCATCTTGCAGCCACACCACTGTCCTGGGATTGCTTCATGGGGCCAGGTATGATACATGCAGAAGGCTGGGCAGTGGGCCTGAACGACCCTGGAAAGACCTCTCCTCCTTGTCTCCTCTCCTGCTGCTGGCTCCAAGGTCCCTCTCAGATGGTTATTGTCCAGGCTGCCTGAGTCTGCACATCCTAGAGCTGATGGCGCTTTGGGTTACATCACAACCACCAGGCAAATCTCACTATCACCTACCTCCTGCTTCCTGCCCATGTGCTGCGGACCGCTGTGTAGCACTTCCCCCTCCTGGCCAGATCAGGAACTGCAAGAGGACTGCAGCTTTGACCACCCAGCAGGGATTTCCTGCCTTTCCTTTCAGTCTTCTGTCTGGAGCCCGGTCTGGAGCCCTGTGCTGCCTGCTGGCTTGGTCCCTACCTACTGTCCAGCCTTACTTCCCACAGCTCTTGTCTCACCTTTCTTGCTTCTTGCCAGCCTTGCAGGTATCACACTGCCTGTCTGTTTGCTTCCACACAGCCTCTTGACTCTGTCTGGACTCCTCTTCCTCCCCCTGCCCACTCTTCTTTAACCCCTCTGCTCCAGTCGCAACCTGACCCTACCTCTAACATGTGCCCACTGCAGGCTTTTAGCTTTCAGCTCTGATCCTTAGTGTGCTTTTGAATTGATTCGAATGGACCTTTGCTAACATCCATCTCCCCCACCCCAGGCCCCGCTGCGAGGCCCCCACACTGCATTTGGTGTGGAGAACTCAGCTGATATCTGTGGAGTTAAAGGATGCACGAATGCGCCTCACCTTGAGTCCAAAATGCCCCTGCCTCATCCTCCTCAGCCAACCCTAGATCTCCCTTCCACAAACACTAAAGGCCCTTCGGCTGCTCTGGGTCCACCCTAAGAGGTGTGAAGAGCTCTCACAGGACCCCTGCGCTCTGCCTTCCGGTTCCCTGCCTCAGCTCCCTATCCTTCACTCTTCCTACGCATCCAGTCCTCCGCCCACCCCCCAGACCAGCTGCTGCCTCTGACCATGGCAACACTTACCCCTCAGGGCTGTGGAGGCTGGCAGGGCCCTCAGGAGGGGCCTCTATTGTACGGGTTCATTTCTTTTTTCTTTTTTTAGCACCAGGGATCGAACTCAGGACCTTGCGCTTTCGAGGCAGGCATCAGCACCACTGAGCTAAATCCCTGGACAAGTGGCGGTTCATTTCTTTGCCATGGCCTGGAGTGATGAAGTGGATCTTCCCAGGCCACAGAGCCATAGGGCAAGGACTTTCTGGGCCCCCTTGATGTGCAGGCCCAACAAGCAGGCACACGGCAGCCTGAGGTCCACCCCAGCCCCTCACCTGGATGGCCTCAGCCCTGGCCTCATCCTGCTCCTGCATGGCCCGCACCGAGGGCAGTGAGAACACACTGTGCACACACGTGCTCACCAGCTGTGCTCGCTCCTGCACGTCCAGCACCAGCCTCATGTGGCTGTGGAGACAGGGCAAGGAACCTGGTGATGAAGGCAGTGGGTACCAGCAGAGGCTGGGCAGTGCCCTGGGAGACAGGGGCGGGAGGGTGTGGGCACCTCAGCTGGGTCAGCGTCTCCATGGCCCGCCAGCGGACTGAGGTCAAGAGCGAATCCAGCGGTTCCTCCTGTATCTGCCTCTGCACAAGGGCCACAGCAGGGCAATGAGGCAGGGGCCTCCCCACGGAGAGCAAGGCCACCAAACACATCCCTGCTCGAACCCATGCCCCCTGAGGAAGCCTCAGAAGAAAATCGTTCTGCCCCAGCCCTGCGCCACAGCTGTCTGTGAACCACTGAACTGGCCCAGAGCAAGAGAACCCAGCTCGGGCCTAGGAACTGTCTGGGTGGCTGCTTTAAAACCTCACACCCCTTGTGAGCCCAGGAGAGAGAGGCCATGGACCCTCAGGGCAGGGGAGGCAGAGGCAGTCCAGGTGACCTCCTCCCCGCTCTGCTCCTGCCCTATGTTTCGTGTTTGTCCAGTCTCACCAGCAGTGGGCTCAGGGCTTCCCCTCCCCACCCAGGGCTGCAGACCCGCCGAAGACCCCGCACCATCATCTTCATCATCACGGTCTTCTTCTCTCCTTCTGCTCTCAGCAGGTCCTGGGGGACCTTGTTCTGGACCTGGGGACAGCAGAGGGCAGAGCTACAGGGTGAGTCCCCAACAGTGGCCCTTGGCCATTGAGGGCACTGCCCATCAGGGCTGCTGAAATGGACCTGCACTTGGCCTCCCACTTCCCAGCCCCAGCACTGGCTGGAGGGAAAGCACAAGTTCCCATGGGGTCCTGGGGATGATCTTGGGCGAAGGGACAGGAAGGCAGACCACCGTGGCCAGCGCCTAGGAGGTCTGTGAATGCTGGGAGGCAGAGAATCCCTGCAGCTCCATTCCACTGAGGCTGGGAAAGAAAGGGCCCCAAAATTTCCACCTGGAATCATATCCAGGCAAAAATGTTCTGGTCCTTGGAAAACCACAGTATATCCCACCTTCAAAAAAGTCACTGCCCTCACCTTCCCTCTCACATGCAAATTATCTGGTATGTGAATTCCTTCCATATCACGCTCACCAATCCTAACTCCAACACTAAGGAATAAAGTGATTCCAAAGTTCCCATACAGCGGTACTTGAAATCCTGCACTGTGGCCTAACCTAAGGTGAAATCTATGCTGATATTAACTATAAAAACAACACTTCAATACTCAGGTAGAGAAATTCCGAGGCTATCTCTCACCCTAATCCTAACCCTAACCCTGACCCTCGAGGAGGTACTTATAGTCCTACATCATTCCTAAAACTGAACGTCAAATTAACACCAACCCTCATGCTCAAACACACTACACTACACAGGGAGTGAAACGGGGAGCCTATTGCGGCCCCTCAATCTAGCTCTAACCCTAATCATAGGCAAATCCCTAACCATTATATAGAGGCGACAATGTTCAGGTCCTTGGAAACTGACAGTACATCACAACTTCAAAAAGCTCAGTACCCTCACCTTCCCTCTCACATGAGAATTATCTGGTATGTGAATTCCTTCAGTATCAAACTCACCGATCCTACCTAACCTTAACCCTAACCCACAACCTGATTCCTAAATTCCCGTAGTGCGGTACTTGAAATCCTGCACTATGGCTAAAACTAAGGTGAAATCTCATGCTGATTCTAACTATGAAAACAACACCTTGATACCCAGGTAGAAAAATTCCAAGGCTATCTCTCACCCTAATCCTAACCCTAACCCTAACCCTGACCCTCGGGGAGGTACTTCTATTCCCACATCATTCCTAACACTGAACGTCAAATTAACACCTACCCTAACCCTCAAATGCACAATACACTACACAGGGAGGGAAATGGGGAGCCTAATCCGTCATCTAAGTCTAGCTCTAAACCTCCTTGCTGGAAAATCACTACCCATTATATCAAGGCCGCAATATTCAGGTCTTTGGAAACACACAGTACATCCCACCTTCAAAGAACTCACTGCCCTCATCTTTCTTCTCACAAGCAAATTATCTGGTATGTGAATTCCTTCCATATCACGCTCACCAATCCTAACCCTAACCCTAACCGACAACCTGATTCCAAAGTTCCAATAGGGCGGTACGTGAAATCCTGCACTATGGCTAAGACTAAAGTGAAATCTCATGCTGATTCTAACTATGAAACCTACACCCTAATACCCAGGTAGAGAAATTCCAAAGCTATCTCTCAACCTAATCCAAGCACTAACCCTAACCCTAACCCTGACCCTCGAGGAGGTACTTATATTCCTACATCATTCCTAACACAGAACATCAAATTAAAAATTAGCCTCACCATCAAACACACACTACACTACACAGGGAGTTAAATTGGGAGCCTATTCCATCCTCTAAATCAAGCACTTAACCTACTCGCTGGAAAATCACTACCCATTATATTAAGGCCACAATGTTCAGGTCCTTTGAAACCCACAGCACATCGCACCTTCTAGAAGTCACTAATTTCACCTTCTCTCTCACATGCAAATTATCTGGTATGTGAATTCCTTCCATATCATGCTCACCAGTCCTAACCCTAACCCTAACCCACAACCTGATTGTAAATTCCCATAGGGTGGTACTGGAAATTCTGCACTGTGACTAAAAGTAAGGTGAAATACATGCTGATACTAACTATGAAAACAACACCCCAATACTCAGGTAGAGAAATCCCAAGGCTATCTCTCACCCTTACCCTAACCCTAACCCTAACTCTTGAAGAGGTACTTATATTACTACATCATTCCTAACACTGAACGTGAAATTAACACATACCCTCACCCTCAAACACACACTACACTACACTGGGAGTGAAATGGGGAGCCTATTCCATCCTCTAAATGTAGCTCTAAACCTACTCACTGGAAAATCACCACCCATTATGTGAAGTACTCAATGTTCAGATACTTCGAAACCCACAGTACATCCCACCTTCAAAAAAGTCACTGCCCTCACCTTCCCTCTCACATGCAAATTATCTGGTACGTGAATTCCTTCAGTAGCATGCACACCAATCTTAGCTCTAACCCTAACCAACGATCTGATTCCAAAATTCCCACAGGGCGGTACGTGAAATCCGGCACTGTGGGTAAGACTAAGGCCAAATGTCGAGCAGATTCTAAAAATGAACCCTAAAACCCAATACGCAGGTAGAGAAATTCCGAGGCTATCACACACACTAATCCTAAACCTAACGCTGAACCTAACCCTGATCATCGAGGAGGTATTTATATTCCTACATCACTGGTAACACAAAAGGTCAAATTAACAACAACCCTCACCATCAAACACACACTACACTACACAAGGAGGGAAATGGGGAGCTTATTCTGTCCCCTAAATCTAGCTCTAACCCCACTCACTGGCCAATCACTACCCATTATATCCAGGCTGCAATGTTCAGGTCCTTGGAAACTCACAGTATGTCCCACCTTCAAAACACTCACTGCCCTCATCTTCCCTCTCACATGCAAATTATCTGGTACATGAATTCCTTCCGTATCAGGATCACCAATCCTAACCCTAACCCTAGTCCACTACCTGATTCCTAAGTTCCCATAGGGCAGTACTTGAAATCCTGCACTGTGGTTAAGACTAAGGTGAAATCTCATGCTGATACTAACTATGAAAACAACACATCAATACCCAGGTAGAGGAATTCCAAGGCTATCACACACACACTAAACCTAACCCTAACTCTAAGCCTAACCCTGGCACTCCAGGAGGTACTTATATTCCTGCATCATTTGCTAACACTGAACATCAAATTAACACCAACACTCACCATCAGTCACACACTACACTACAAAGGGAGGGAAATGCAGAGCCTATTCCAGCCCCTAAATCTAGCTCTAACCCTACTCGCTGGCCAATGACTACCCATTATATCCAGGCCGCAATGTTCAGGTCCTTCGAAAAACACAGTACCTCCCACCTTCAAAACACTTATTGCCCTCACCTTTTCTCTCACCTGCAAATTATCTGCAAATTATCCTTCTGCATCACAATCACCAATCCTAACCCTAACCCAAACCCACAACCTTATTCCCAAATTCCCAAAGGGTGGTACTTGAAATCCTTCACTGTGGCTATGACTAAGGCCAAATGGCATGCTGATACTAACTATGATACCCACAACCCAATACACAGGTAGAGAAATTCCAAGGCTATCACTCACCCTAATCCTAACCCTTACCCTAACACTAACACTAAACCTAACCCTATCCCTCTAGGAGGACCTTATATTCCTACATCATTGCTAACAGTGAATGTCAAATTAACACCAACCCTCCTACTCAAACACACACTACACTACACAGGGAGGAAAATGGGGAGCCTATTCCATCCCCTCAATCTAGCTCTAACCCTACTCATAGACAAATCCCTACTGATTGTATCCAGACCGCAATGTTCAGGTCCTTGGAAACCAACAGTACATCCCAACTTCAAAAAACTCACTGCCCTCACCTTCCCTCTCACATGCAAATTATCTGGTATGTGAATTCCTTCCTAATATTGCTCACCAATCCTAACCCTAACCGTAACCCACAAACTATTTCCTAAATTCCCACAGTGCGGTACTTGATATGGTGCCCTGTGGCTAAAACTAAGGTGAAATCTCATACTCACACTGTCTATGAAAAGAACACCTCAATACTCAAGTGGAGAAACTCCAAGGCTATCTCTCAGCATAATCCTAACCCTAACCCTAAACCTAACCCTGACCCTGGAGGAGGCACTTATATTCCTACATATTTCCTAACACTGAACATCAAATTAACACCTACCCTCACCCTCAAAAACACACTACACTGCACAGGGAGTGAAATGGGGAGCCTATTCTGTCCTCTAAATCTAGCTCTAAACCTACTAACTGGAAAATCCCTATCCATTATATCCAGGCCTCAATGTTCCTTGGAAACCCACAGTACATCCCACCTTCAATACACTCATTGCCCTCACCTTCCTCTCGCACACAAATTATCTGGTACATGAATTAATTCTGTGTCATGCTCACCAATCCTAACCCTAACTCTAATGGAGAACCTCATTTCAAAATTCCCACAAGGCGGTACATGAAATCCTGCACTGTGGCTAAGCGTAAGATGGAATCTCATGCTGATTCTAACTAAGAAACCTACACCCCAATACCCAGGTAGAGAAATTCCAAGGCTATCACACACACTAATCCTAACCCTAACCCTGGCACTCCAGGAGGTACTTATATTCCTGCATCATTTGCTAACACTGAACATCAAATTAACACCAACACTCACCATCAAACACACACTACACTACACAGGAAGGGAAATGTGGAGTCTATTCCATCCCCTAAATCTACCTGTAACCCTACTCGCCGGCCAATGACTACCCATTATATCCAGGCTGCAATGTTCAGGTCCTTCGAAAAACACAGTATGTCTCACCTTCAAAACACTGCCCTCACCTTCCCTCTCACCTGCAAATTATCTGGTACGTGAATTCCTTCTGTATCATGCTTACCAATCCTAACCCTATCCCTAACCCACAGCCTGATTCCTAAATTCCCATAGGGTGGTACTTGAAATCCTGCACTGTGGCTATGCCTAAGGTGAAATCTCATGCCTATACTAACTATAAAACCCACACCCCAAACCCAGGCAGAGATATTCCAAGGCTATCACTCACCCTAATCCTAACCCTAACCCTGAACCTACTTATATTCCTACATCATTCCTAACACTGAATGTCAAATTAACACCAACCCTCACCTTCAAACACACACCACACTACACAGGGAATGTACCCCAGCAGCGCTTCCACAGGCTCCTGACACAGGCCAATCAGGTGTTCTCCTTGCCCAAGCAATTTATCAGCCCCATTTTCTTAGGGAGAAGAGAAGATAACTGTGAAATCAATAAACAACTTCACACAGGAAAAAAGATGGGTTCTGGCCTGTCGGGCCTCCGGGCAGCCTTGGTTTCCCCTGGCCCAACCGCCGCCCTCCAAAGAAGCGCGGGGTTGGAGGAGGAAGGAGGTTGAGGGGCGTGGGGCGTCATGATTTTCCAGCACCCTCGGGAGCTACGCTGTGTGGGCAGATGAACCCCGAGCCGGTCCAGGGTGACTTTCCTGTCCTGAGCAGCCAGCCCCACCTCACCTGCACCCCACACCCTGGTGACTGGGGCTTGGGTGTCAGACAGCAGCTGGTAGAAGCTAGGAGAGTGGTAGTGAGGGGCAGACTCACTGCCACAGCACAAGCAGAGAAAGTCCCTTGGAGGCGGACAGCTGGGCTGAGCCCTGATCGACAGGAACAAGCTGAGGAAAGGTCTGTCCCTCCCCACAAACTAGACTGACAGCAGCAATGGCCCTCTTGGTGTAGACCATGCTCTGCTCCATGCCTGTGTTATCTTCAACCTTCCTCATCAGAGGAAGCGCGTGAGATGGCCCTGAGGCAGGAAGGACTCTGTGTGGGTGAGAAACAAAGGAGCGAACAGGGGCCCCACTAGAACACCACACGGTGAGGACCGTGCTCCCAAGATGCAGGCTGCCTCTTGCCACCATCACCCACCCCCCACCCCAGCCGTCCCACCTCTGACACAGTTCCTTCCTACCTGGGGCTGCCCTCCTTCCACACTGGCCACCCCCTGGACGTGCCCATACTAGCGGGTCACACTCCTGTGCTCTGGCTGGTCCTGACCCTGCAGATGCTGTGCTTTCCCTGCAGACCTGGCCTCCCCAGGCTGACTGTACCACCCAGACCCGGGTCCGGCCTATGCCCTGGAAAAGGCCATTTCTAGCCATTCTGTCCCCTCCTGAGCACCTCCTACTGCTCATTCAGATAGTTTTTAAATTTTTCCTTTAGCTGGCCATGGTGGCACACACTTATCCTGACAGTTACTCAGAAGGCAGGAGGGTCAAATTTGAGGCCAGCCTCGGCCACTTAGCAACTTAAAGAATAGTTCAGTGGTAAGTACCTCTCCGTTTCAATCCACAGCACCCGCCCCCCACACACACACACAAAAAAAAACATTACAGAGCACCTAGCATGTGTCAAGCACTGCGTTACACACTGAGGATACAGTAATAAGACAGGCCAAACCCTGATTTGTAGAAGACTCGTTTCTGTGGGAGAGATGAATGACAAAACAGAAGAAGGAGTACACACAGGGGCAGAGCAGCAGAGGAGTGGGGATGCTGGGGATGCCGGGGCTGTGGAGCTGGGGTGCAGGGTGGAAGGGCAGGGAAGGGACACGGGGAACCAGGCAGGAGCCCTACCAGAGCCATTTCTCTGCTGTCTTCTCTCTCCTCTGGCACCTTCTCCGGAGACGAGGTCACTTCATCAGAGGCCTCTGCACAGCACGGTGTCCACGGGAAAGAAGGGAGAGCGTGGTGTACACAGGCACCACGGTCCCTTCCCCACTGACCCAGCTGAGCTGTGAAAGTGTAAATCAGCTCACATCAACTCTCCTCCCCGACATCCTTCAGAGAAGCCCCACGCAGTGGCACACGAGGGCCCCATCCTCAGACCCTGGCCTCCAGGGCTGTCCCAGGCTCAGGCTCTGGCTCTGGCCCCACCTCTGACTTCTTCCCTCACTGTGGCCCCTCTCGTCCCAAGCCTCCCTCCCTCAAGTTCCTTGCCTGCAGGTGGAGGAGGCCCACCTGCCTCTGTCTAGGTGGAAGAGCCCTGTCTTGCCTGGGGGCTCTCCATCCCTGAACTAGGGGAGGCTGAGTGCTACAAGACCCTCCACACTAGGGGTGCGCCAGGACCCAAGCCTGGCCGGACAGTGTCCCATGCCCAGCCTCCATGACAGGTCCCGGGAGGGGCTCTCAGCTGAGCAGTGCCAATAAAAGCCCTTTATTTGTGGGTGTTGAAGGGACAAAGGAGAGCAGATCTCTGTCGTTTCGAGGACATGGTCACCAAGCCTAAGAAAGCCTGAACTCCAGAGGCATACGGGCCAGAGCTGCCAGGGCTGGAGGAGGGAGTGAGCGGTGAGGGAATTGAACACACCTGGCTTCCAGACCTTGGCTTCCAGATTCCACTGCCACAGACACAAAATGGCAGATCCTGGACTTGGGCCAAGGAGGCCTGGATGAACCTGAGAGGTCTTATATCAGAAAATAGGGGGGCCGGGTGTGGTGGTGAACGCCTGTAATCCCAGCACTCAGGAGGCTGAGGCAGGAGGATCACTGTGAGTTGGAGACCAGCCTGGGCTACATAGTGAGTTCCAGGTCAGTCTCAACTACATAGTGAGACCCTGTCTCAAAAAAAAAGGAAAAAGAAAACAGAGGGGAGAGCAGGAGAGCTCAAAGGATGATGGGAACCTGTGAGAGAGAGACATGAAGGTTTATCTGAAGGAGAGGCACCCGGTCAAATTAATGAAAATTTGAGTATCACAATAGACAATGACAGCAACAGGTCATAGTCTGTTGAATGAGCTAGGAAACCACGAACCTGTACTAATATAAACAAATCGAAAGCTAAAGGAGAAATGGGATATTCAGAGTTTCAGAGTACCTCATACAAGGTCTTTGTCACAAAGCAGCAAGTAGAGACCTCAGAAGGAGAACTATGGCAGCAACTACCTTACTCAAGCGATTGAAGTCAAACCACGAGCTGGGCAGGGCATGTTGGCACGTGCCCGTTATCTTAGTCCTTGGAAGGTTGAAGCAGGAGGATTATCACAAGTTCGAGGCCAGCCTGGACTACACAGCAAGACAAACAAGCAAAAGCCCCAGAGGAGATGCAATGAGATGACTACTATCCACTGTATGAGAACCATCAAATCAACCAAAATTTAGGCACACCCTACCAAATAGCTGGCCTGTAATCTTCAAGTGCATTAAAGACATGAAAGTGGAGGAAGCTGGGTGTGGTGGTACATTCCTGGGACACCAGCATTCTGGGAGGCTGAGGCAGGAGGATTGAAAGTTTGAGTCCTGGGCAATATAGCAATTTAGCCTTGTCTCAAACAATTAAAAAGGGCTGGGGATATAGGGCATTGCCATGGTCCTCGGTTCAGAGACAGAAAGAGAAAGCAGGTATGGGGGAGGAAGAGAGGGGAAGAAAAGAATGGAGAAAGCCAGGCTTGGGAATGGTGGTGCACACCTGGCATGGCAGCACCTGGGTAGCTGAGGCAGGAGGGTCACTGTGAGTTCAAGGCTGGGCTGGGCTCACAGTGAGTTGTAAAAGTCATGGTATCAACCACGCAGTTTTATAAAATCTCTATGTGCAAAAGCATGAAGTGGGGATATTAGGTGTGTCCAAAGCCAGAATCTAAGGAGACAGAACGGTGCTTGCCAGGGGCCAGGGAGGGGAAATGGAGAATTGCATTTCTTTTTTTTTTGGTACCTGGGATGAAACTCAGGACCTTGTGCTTACAAGGCAGGCGGTGGAACCACTGAGCTAAATCCCCCGCCCTGGAGAATTGCTTTTTAAAGACTAGTTTCAGATGTAAAAGATGAACAGAGTGCTGGAGACTGACGGCGGTGATGGTTGCACAAAAATATACTTAAGCCCAGTGAACTGTGTACACTGAAAATGGTTAAGAGGGCAAACTGCGGTCTTCAAGGCCCTGGCGGAAGTCATGCAGACGCCTCAATGCTCTGCAGGTCTGTCCCGGCTGCTGTCACCATGGTGTGGACATTCAGGTCTCCAGCAGAAGCAGCTGGGGCTGTGCTTGCAGGGACTGCGTCTCCACCCGGGACCGCAGGACCTCGTGGCCACCCGCTGCGCACCAGCGCCCCCTGCTGGAGCACAGGGAGGCCTGTTGCTGCCGGGTATGGATTCTTTTTCTTTTTCTTTTTCTTTTTTTTTGCCGGGTATGGATCTTTAAGATTCTTGGGCCCTCACCTGCAGGCCACAGAGCCAGGGCTGGGGAGGGTCGTTCCAGTTTTCCAAGAAATTATCTTAAAATTTGGACTACTGATAATGAAATGACTGCCTTGTGAGACAGTGGGAAGCAGTTTTCCTGGGGATCGTTAGCCTCAATACCTAAGACCTTGCAGTGTAAAAGCAGGAACATTGCACCAACCCTGTGCACCCTTCCTTCATCAAACTGTTTGGTTCAGTTTATTTAACTTGAATATTTGGCTCCTGGCTATGATTCACCTGTGTAGCTGTGTTAGATGGAGAGTTTGGGCCCAAGTTTCCCTAATATGTGTGACGTTAGTGTTCAGAGTTTCCTTCCTTCTCTGGAGCAGTGCTTTTCAATGACAATAAATGGCCCACTGCTTTGTAAATGAAAAAAATATTAAACTTTATGTTGTAATACCCCACAATTTTTGTAATATACCACATTTTAAAAATTGGGAAGAAAGGGCCGAGGATTTAGATCAGTGGTTCCAGCTCCTGCCTTGCAAGTGCAAGGACTCGAGTTCGATCCCCGGTACCAATAAATAAATAAATAAATAAATAAATAAATAAATAAATAAACTTGGTATGTGTGCTGTTTTTGCCAGGCATGGTGGCTCATGCCTGTAATCCTGGCACTCGGGAGGCTGAGACAGGAGGATCACTGTGAGTTCGAGACCAGCTTGGGCTACATAGTGAGTTCCAGGTCAGTCTCAACTACATAGTGAGACCCTGTCTCAAAAAAAACCAAAATAAAAAATTTGGAAGAAAAATCTTTATTTAAAAATGTAAATTAATATATATGTACATACATATGAAATTATAGCTAGGTGTGGTGGTGCACATCTGTAATTGCATCACTCAGGAGGCTGAGGCAGGAGGACCACTTCAAGTTCAAGGCCAGCCTGGGCTACAATAGCGAGTTCAAGGCCAGCCTGCATGACAAAGTGAAACTCTGTCTCAAAAAAAAAAAAGAGGGCCAGGGATTGAGCTCAATGGTTCTGCCACCTGCCTCAAAAGTGCAAGGACCTGAACTTGATCCCCAGTAACAAAAAAAAAAAAAAAAAAAAAAAAAAAAAAATCAAAAGCTTTTCTGTATCAAAGAATGCTGTCAGGAGAGTGAAAAGATCACCCACAGAATAGGAGAAAATATTTCCAAATGGCATAACTGATAAGGTATCAATCCTTAGAATGTGTAAAGAACTACAACTCAACAAAAAACAACGAAATCAATAAAAAGTGGACAAAGGGGTCACATAGACATTTCTTCAGAGAGGCTATCTGGCCAATAAGCACAGGAAAAGGTGCTCGATATCATTAGTCATTAGGGAAGTGCAAATCAAAACCACAGCGCGACACCATCCCGTGCCTTGACAATGGCTATTATTGAAAGCCAAGAACAGAACTGAGAAAGAACCTCTCTGGGATTTGGTGTCCTGACATTGGAATATAGAGGTATGAGGAGGAGAGGAAGGAAGGAAGTGGATCCCTGGGACCCGGGAAGGACCTGAATATAGAATTGGAAGTCCACAGGGAGAGTCCAGGAGAGAGACTTCAGTGAAAAAGAGGGAGGTGGCAGGTGGGGCTTTGTCCCAGAGTCCAGACTCATGGGGTGGGAAGGGCAGTGAACCTGCAGACTCACAGTGACTACTAGAGACCCCAGAGTCCTTCACAGAGAAAGGCACAAGTGGAATGGAGCAGTGGATGCAGAAAACTGCAGTGGCTGGTGAGTTATCTGGGTTCAAATGTCACCAAGGAGAGCACAACTGGCCAGTAGCCATCTTGGAGGGGGCGAACTGAGCTTGAACTCAGAACAGCTACAGGGTGGCTCCATCTAGTGGCTCCTAGTGTCACTGTGAGGGTGCTGAGTTCAAACTGGCAGGAGGTCAGGGCCCAATAAACTGAAGAGGTAGGATCTTGCAACAGACTCAAAACACAAAGGCCAACTACACCTGGAAGATGCCTCTCAGAAGTAGTCATTTTCTAAGGGTTCTAAATACTGACAAGCTACTCGCCATGAGCAATCTCCAAGCATCAACTCTGGAGTTAAACTTTTAAAAAAATAGAAAATGAAAATAACACTTAAACAAGATGCAACCACACCCACCCAGGCTTTCATCTCACCAAAGCCAAACCCAGGGGTCAGTGAGGTAGAACAATCTGAAAGCCACCCACCTGGACTCTGAAGTGATAACAGCAGAAGTAACAAAGCAGATGAAGGAGGCCCTAGAAAAAGTCAAAGCAGAAATAATTTCTCAGATAACTACAGAGATGGTGACCAGAACAAAAGACATGCTTAGTGACTCCAAAGCCGATAAGATTAAAAAAAAAAAAAATAGAGGAGCTCAGGAACATGATAGAAACCATGAACACACAGCATAGGAAAAATATGGGACCCATAGATTCAAACATATCCAGGAGATTAAAAACTCCCCTGAAAGTATAGGCAGCAGAATGAGCCAATGTGAAGACAGAATATCAGATATAGAAGACAGGAGG